CTTGACCACATATCAGAGCTTCTCTAGCACCTGGATTCAGTGAACTGCGATGATGATCAAGCACCCTGCCTCTGTTATTGAATGCCAACTCTGGTCCAAGAGTGGATGCAGGAACTCCCAAGATATCACGTGCCATCATCGATAATATAGGGTACCTTGGTGTGTGAACTTTCCACCAATTCAATATGCTGAAATCATAATTGCGAGGAAAGACTGGCTCTTCCAAGTATTTGTCAAGATCTGATGTCATGTTGTGGCTTTGTGAAGTTTCATGGAGAAACTTGTCGAAACCCCTAAGTCTGTCCCTCGTGCCAATAGTGGTACTGGCTAAGCTGCCAGAAGCACCAGCCGTATCTGGATCAAGCGAAGATGAGCCCATAGCATACTCATTGGAAAGCTCCCTTATGGCATCAGATACTGCTTTGATCTGATTTGGCGCATCAGAATCATAAATCTGAGGATAGTAATACTCCACCAACTTCATCTTGAACCTTGGATCCAGTATTGCTGCTATTGCCAAAGTCAAACTGCACTTGCTCCAGTATCTGTCAAACTTTTCTTTCATCTTCAGTGCTATATCACTTAGAAAATTATCAGGATTCTTACACCATTCAATCAACTGGATGTGAATATCACATATTTCTGGGAAATATATGTTGGCAGTTGAATACTTATTTGTTGTGAAAACATTAGTAACTTCAACAAAAAGTTTCACATAGCCAGCAACGGCACTAGCATGATCCCACTCTGTTTCAGACAAGGCACTAGTGTAGGTAGGGTCATGCTCTTCTAGTAGACAGAAGGCTCCCCTATAGTCTAAGGCAGCTTCAAGCATTAAGTATGTTGAACTCCACTGCTGTCCGCAGTCAAGAATCAAAGGTCTCTCACCACTAATCGCAGCTTGCTGAGCAATCTCATTGAATTTTCCTAGGGTTACTTGTGAACTTTTAACATGCCTTATGCTTTCTCGGACCTTGTGGGTCACATCTCGAATTGCTTCCATGACATCGGAAACAATTGATTTCATTAACTGTACTGCACAGCGCACATCAAACAATTCACCATTCTTTAACAGAGGCCTGTTTTGAGAAAGCCAGTCTTTGATCCTAAAAATCAGTTCTTCATAGCCCGTACAATGATCGAAAGTCATAGAAAACAACTTACGATCAATGGCCCAGTCTGTCAAACTTTTTATAACAACTTCTGAAAGTATGTCATCTGTGTGAGAAGGGTCCAGTGTGATGAAATTCAGCATTTTCTTCTGAAGCTTCCAGTCTTCATCAATGTAAAAAGCAGTCAAGCACATATACCGTGCATTTTCCGATGAATCCCAAACATCAGCAGAAAGACTAATTCTTCCATGCAAGTTATGGATCGCTTCATACATCTTCTGTTTCTCTTTTGCATAAATAGTCATACAATCTAGTTCAACAGCACTATTAGTCAAAACCTCAAATTGTGGCTGTAAATTCTTGACAAATATTTTGAATCCAATATGGTCAACCATGGCTAAAGGATAACCATGTAACATAATCATACGGGCAAGATCCAGACGGCTCCGCTCTTGATCAAATCTAACACTGCCAAGGTTGATAGGCACGTTAACTTCCTCTTTCTTTACCTCTGGATCAAACTTAAAGGTTGTCACAGGACTAATGGTTTCTTCTTTCCTTTGTCCTTCTTCATAGGTGACAACTGCAAGAGTAGGGTCTTTTTTCTTTCTCTTCGCTGCAAGTATTTGGGTAACATCATAGTTGGATCTTTTTAGACACCGCAACAAATGATTCCTCAGATGAGTTGTTCCGCTGTTACTTGATCCACTAAGCTTCTTTTTGCAATGCACACAGACGGCATAACAGATATCTGCCTTTCGAACTCTTTCAAAATGGTTCCACACAACGGATGTCAATCGCTTTGGTTTCTTTATTGGGGTTTCGGTTGGAATTTCCATGGCATGGATGAAGCCAAATTAACCAATCTGTTATCATCAAATGGTTTGGTCCAAAATGCTGTTAAATGGCGAAACAACAGCAACCAAGTAGAATGCAATGACAGATTTAAAGGAATTGAAAAAGGTTGTACTTAAAAGCTATTAACCAAATACAGTATCTGAAGAAAGGAACAGAGAAGCAAACGAAAGTTCTGAACCTCATAATATTATTCTGATGATTGTAGGCATTGCTGTAGATTCTGTTATTTAGAAAAAAAGACATTGCTTAAGATTTTTATGTATGCAATCTTGAAACTTTAAAGGACCCAGACCAATACTCGTCACAAATCTTTCAACTGGAGTCAGTTTGCCTATCTGATTTATGCTCAATCCCTCCCTCAGTATGAACTTTATCTCTGTGCATACCAAATCACAGATTTTCTAGACGGAAGTTTGACATAACATTGTTTTTTCGAAAAAACAACGAAGTCTCAGCACCAAACAAGTTGGGGTTATATGAATCCTCTGACCACGTTTCTCTATTTAATAAATCATAACCAACTTTTTCATAATGAAACAAAAACAACAAACTGAGAGCAAAATAATGATGAGTAGCATATATGATCTTTTGTTTCCTCATTCTTTTTCTTTTGTGAGGTTTGGGGTGATGGTGAGGCGACACATAAACTAGCCACGAGACAAGAAATCAGCAGTCTCCACACAGCTAAAGATCCACCGAATTACAAGTGAAGGCTATACATAATTGACACGAAGCACCCATTGCACCAGTCAACAATCCATAAACAATGGGACAAGCAACTCATACAGACAAAAGCAGTAGAAACGTAAGTTCTTCTACATCGTGACCTCTACTATAAAAAGCCAGAGACTACCCACCCAACAACAACAACATACCCAGTGTAATCCCACAATTGGGGTTTGGGGAGGGTAGAGTGTACCTTACCCCTACCTCGTAGAGATACATATGTTGTTTTCGATATACCCTCACCTTAAAAATAAAGCATTTCCAAGCAGTTTGAAAAAGGAAATACATAAATGAGAGCAGTAACAACAACGGGTTACTACAGGTTTGATAGACGTGGCATTTCCCTAAAGGAGACATGTTCACAAAATTCACGACAACATTGATCCACGACAATAGCCACAGTAACTTGACACAGGAAAAATTATATGCATCACACCCACCCCCCACACCCCACACCCAACTTAAGCTCATTAACCAGCTCAACCAATCTCCAACACTTACCATCATTGTCTCTTTGGTGAACACAACACCCACATGATCCAAATCCTAAATCACAACAACAAAACTAGACATCCCAAATTACATTATTCAAAATCCACAGAAGAAAAACATTAAAAAATCAATCTTTACCTAAAAAGTCAATCAATCAGTCTACAACCCCTCAATGTCAAACTACTTGAGATCCATTAAACAAAATCCTCTACATCCATTCAACTCTATTCAGCCCCAATATATCAAAAAATGTACAAAAAACCATCAAAATTGAGCTCAAATAGATGTACTTGACAGGGATTCGGGTTTAAATCCGGCTAATAATGAACAGAAAAATGCAAACCTGAGAAAGTGAAGAACTTTTCCGTTGACGTCTTTGTCAGATAGATCCGATCGGAGGATCCGAAAGTGAATAGGGTTAGGGTTTTGGATTATTAAACGGAGAAGAGAAGATTGAACCGTAAACCGGGAAGATCCGGTAAGAATGCCCGATTGCGTGATCTGGAATTTGGGTGGTTCACACATTTGAAGGGTCCGTTTTTGAAGATGTACCCGAATTCGGGTCGGGTCGTGTCGGGTTGGTTTAGGGTTAGGTGTGTTTAGTTAAAATGGATATTCTCTTTTTATTATTTTATTTTTTGAGATTTATTTTTTTCTTAAGCTTCTGGATTTTATTATTTCTAAATTTCTAAAAGGAAGATTATCACGTTTGGTCCATAGTTATTTATAGGATCTTTATGATCAACATATTTAACGTTCAACGACAATAATATAATTAGTATAATCTTTTAAGTGGAATATAGAAATAATACTCCCTTCGTCCACTTTTAATGTCATGATTTTCTTTTTTTAGAGTTAAACTATACGAACTTTGACTATCATTTTACGATGTATTTTTTAATCATATTAACATGCAAAAAAAATTGCAATTTATAGTATTTTCTGTATAGTTTTTGAATATTTAAATTTTTTGCTTAAAATATCAAATTAATTTAATCTAATTTAACTTTGAAAATTAGTCAAATTGACTTTCGAAAAAGGCATACAACAATAAGTAAAAGTGATTTATTTTTTTACTCTTTCTTGTGTTACTTATGAATTTACTATTGCAATTTGGCTTGTGACTGTGAATGTATGTTTGGATCTGAAACTGTAGAGGTACTTAAACTTTACTTCTTGTACTAAATTGATGTTTATTTTACTATATTTCGTAAAAACCTCTCCTTAGGTATCGTATCGTAACACTTATATTCTTTATGATTTGTAAAATTAATGTCTACCTCCTTGTAGAAGGATGTCTTCGCCACCGGGCCATATGATCAACATAAGCTCAAAGCTTCTTTCGTAACTCCAGAAACTTCTTCGTACTGGCTCCCTTACCTGCCTCGTTTCAGAGGGAACCTCAAAGTGGCTCTATTTCATTATATTTCATCCATATCTCAATCTCATTCATTTAATATTCATTTGGTGTCATTGACATAACAAATGTCGTTTCTAGTCTATCTTTTTCTATTATAGAAAAGTTCAAAAATCATCATATAATAATCCAAAAATGACCTTTAAACTTGTCTGTTTCTTTTACTTAAACGCTATAACTTGGACTTGTTCCTGTTGACACTTGTTAGACACTTCTCTTATGCATGGAAGCCACCTATCCATCAAATCATAATAACAACATATCCAATATAATCCCACAAGGTGCGAGTTGTGAGAGAGTAGACTATAAACGGACCTTACCCCTACCTAGTGGGGTTAGGGAGGCTGTTTTTGATAAACCCTCGGCTCAAGAACCGAGGAAACAAAACAGCAAGATAAAAGCCACCTAGCCATCAGCTTTCATTTATACATGAAAATTGAGATTCAAGATTTCAATACACTAGCTTCAGAAATTATTTCTGGAGCAAGATTGCGTACAATAGTTCATTCCAAACAGAGTACACCAGCTACACGCCAGTGGCTGCAGTCCGTCAACGCACCACTGGCAATTCTCGACTGGTGTCCATCTTTTCGTAGTTGTGTAATCAGTGTAATATCAAGTAAATTGACAGGCTTTGTCATGTTACTTGGGACACTTTTCACCAATGCCTCTTCTGGATATCTTTCACCTGGATAAGTTGATCCCTCTATTGGTTTTGTTGTCCACTGCAGTCCTTCACCTTTGGTTCATTCCAATCCTTGCCACTGAAAAGAGGAAACAGAATTATGTTGAAGAAAATGGTCTAGAATCCTACAAGAAAAATCATATACTGAATGGAAACTTGCAAGAAAATGTGACTGATCTAACCCTGAATGCCGAAAGGGTCCATGGGATGATCTCGTAGTTCCTACAAGGTGAAGGTGGAGATGACGGGATCAGTCCATAAATTTTCCTTTCCTTTTGCCACATTTAGTTTAAAGGACCAAATTCACATTTCTTTTTAGAAGATGTGTCAGATTGGGTTTAACTTCACTTTCACGGGCTAGAGGGAAATACTTAAAGCGAGTAAAGAACGATTTCAGTAGCCTTTCATTTTTCCATTCAACAAGATTATTAGTCATTTACATTCTAAATGAACATCACATTTAGTATACATTGAATTCAATCAAATGAATACCACAATTACCAGATATATATTCAGTATTAAACATCACTATCAAATATGGCAAATATTACCAAATTTCTGTTCTAAAGAAGCAATTCTTAGTACATTTATGGGAGAAACTTCTTGATATATTTCATGCAAACGCAAATATTTGACTTCGGTACATTTAGGTTATCTGCAAAGTTAAACGAAATCTTGTTAAAGATCTCAGGTCGTGGATCAAGAAAGATGTGTTTCGAAGGAGAAGCATTCACAGATTTCCTATAAGAAATGAGCAATTGACTTTGATTACCTCTACCAACAAAGGTTCCGTTGTTATCCAGAGATTCAACCCGACTTCCCATATTGGCACGTTGATTCATTACCATAGGCACTACTAGTTGTGACTAAGCATGACAAAATAGATTACAACAAGACATAGAACTAGCATGATCATGTCGGGATATCAGACCAATTTTACCTATATGCTGATCAACTCATCGGATTCTTAAGAAGCATTAAGACACAGTTTGACTAAGTCTCAAAATGTCCATCAACAACCGACTGACAGAAGCCTTTATTTCATCTGGTATTACTAGCTGAGGAGGAACTGATTCCAGCGCATACAGAATAATGACCCTCAATACGGCAGCCAAGTGTAAATTTGTCCTATCGCCTTTCCTTACATTCTGATTCACAAACTTGCATGATGCTTTTAAGGCACATTTGCTGCATACCTGAAGTAAAGGCACGTAACATTTTAGATCATAAGGGGTATATAGAAGGAAGGTGGAAGAAAATTTGAGAATGTCCCAAAGAAAATTTTACGTAATCTTATTTGATCTTAGGAGCAGTGAAAGGAAGTGATGAAGTTTCTTAAGAGCAAAAGTGACTCACATTATCTTCTTGAATTCTGAAATATTTACGCAACCTCTTAGCAGATAAAACATTCTGCTTTGCAATAGAAGGGCAACCAAAAAGGGCGACTTTTTTCAGGTCACTGCCAGAGAACCATCTGAACAACCAAGTTTAGTAGATTAAGGAACTGAATGAAGAAAGCTAAGGGGCATAAAGCAGTGTCTAAACTAAACAAAGAAAAACATCCTGAACACAGTACAAGCGACATGTGGGAATTCGTCAAGATGAACCATTCCAAACGAAAGACAGCATCAGTCACCTTTTCAAGTTCGGAAAAGGGCCAAAAATACATGTAACCTATTGAAATGGTTCACAAATACCCTCCGTTAACCTTTAGGTCTAAAAGTACCCGTAACATTTTTTTAGGGGGCTCAAACATACCTCTGAAACTTATGGATTTGGGTCTTAAAAAAACTTAAAAGGGAAAAAAATACCCCTAACGTGTTGAAAATGGCTAACAAATACCATTTGTTAACCTTTTGGTCTAAAAATACCCTTAATTTTTTCTTTTGGGCTCAAACATAGCCTTGAAACTAACGGACCAGCTGGGGTCAAATTTGGGTCTATAAAATAGTCATGTATCATTCTAAGCTTGCCACATTTTCAATATAGGATTAAATTAAATCCCACTCATTTATTAAAACCCAACCCGTTTTCATTTTACAAATTAATCACCCAATACAATCTTTTCTCCCCAAAGCATTCGTCATTTCCTAGAAGCTTAGATGTGATAGGCGATTTAGGGCTAATCTTTTGTACTTCAATCGGGAGATTGGAAGTTGAAGGATTCTTCTTGAAGAATCAATTTCAAAAGTCTTGTTATTAAGGTAATTCTTTTTACTACTATATATAAAACTTTTTCTATTTTGATTTGATGCACTTGAGTGGAGGGTGTTTCGGAAACAACCTCTCCACCTCCACAAGGTAGGGATAACGTTTCCGTACACTCCACCATCCGATCCCTCCCCAGACTCACAAGTAGGATTCCCCAAAGCATCTGTTATTTCCTCTAAAGCTTAGACGTGATAAGTGATTTACGGCTAAACTTTTGTACTTCAAACGGAAGATTGAGGGTCATAACTTCATTGGATGTTTAAGGATTCATCTTCATAAATCATTTTCAAAGTTATGAAGAAGAATAGCAATCTCTTGGTGATCTCTACCAAACTGCCCAGCTTGCATACTTTACAAAATCAAGGGCATAGCTATTCTCGAAGCAAGTAATATCAAACTTCTTCCTAGGCAAAAAGTATGAATCTTTAAAGTACCCTTCATTGTATAAATGTGTCACAAACATCACCATATCAGGTGGAAGCTCTTTGTAGTTTGTACACAGTATGATCCTCAGTAGTCAACACCGTCAACTTTCTTAAATCTACACTCTCATTATCCTCCTCATCCACAAACAATTTGTTTAACTTTTTACTCTTTCCTTCATTTTCCAACACCCCATTATCATTTCTAGCCTCCATCCTCTATTAGCTTTTCCAATTTTCTTCCTCCATTATCACGAACATTATTCAGTTTACAAACTGTTAGCTTCTATGTTTGCACAAGGCAAACACAAATACTTCCCGTATTTACCCAATAATTAGCATACTAAATTCTATATTGTTAAAGATTTCGGTAGACTAACAAAACACAAATTAGACTAATAAACTTCGATGAATAAACATAACAAACAGAAAACCAATAGTAGCAATCAATATGAAAATGAGTGAATGTAACTAAAGTGATTCTTACTTAACAATCTCTTGGTGATCTCTACCAAACTGCTTAGCTGCATACGTTATAAAATTACGGGCATAGCTATTGTCGAAGCATGTAATGTCAAACTTCTTCCCAGACAGAAAGTTTGAATATTTAAAGTACCCTTCATTGTATAAATGAGTGACAAACATCACCATATCAGATGAAAGCTCTTTGAACACAGTATGATCCTCCATACTCAACGGAGTCGACTTCACTGATTTTACACTCTTAACCTCCTCATTCATAAACAATTCATGTAATTTCTTGCTCTTCCCCTTATTTTCCAATACCCCATCACCATTTCTAGCTTCCTTTTCATTTTTCCTCATCTCCAGCAAAAACCTCACTTCTTCCTCCAATTTTTCCAATTTACCCTTCAATTCTTTGTTTTCAGACTTTTCTAACAGACCAACAGCTTCTTGGAAGAAAACACCCAATGGTTTCTTTGCTGCACTATCTGAACTAGTTGATTCTTTCTCAATCTGAGCTGAAAATGAAAAGGGTCTCCCCAAAAATGATGAAAATTGATATGGGATTGAAGAATTCAAGCATGTTGATGCTATTGTTAGAAAACGCCAAGAATTGAACTTTCTCAGGTATATCATTGGTGAGTTTTTTGGTAATTTGGTCACTGAACTGAACGATTGATGAGCATATACAGGGAAGATGAAGTTCTGCCATTAGAGGGCTTTTAGGGATTTTGCAAGCAATACATCTATTTGGGCCCAAATAAAACTACATGGAGTTACTTATGGGTCGGGTTGGGTTAGGGGTTAGTTTTGCTTTTCGATTTTTTCACGTTTGGTTGGTTAAAATATTTGTTTTAAATAAAAATAGAGAAATTATGTTCTATAAGTGATAATCTATTATGATTTTGTCTTATCCATCTTTTTACATATCACATCTTTACTCTACTATGATGGTTTGTATCTTCAATATCCCACATCTTTACGTTTCATAGTATTTCTTTTGATTATATAAAATTATTGTTAGAATTTTGCTTATGTACCGAATACAAAAAGAAAAATAAGCATGAAATTCCTTTATTTTTCTAGAAATAAATTTTAAGAAACAATTTTCATGATTTTTTGTTATACCACAACCTAAAGTTTTTATGTTTTTGTACAAATTGCCTAACAGATTAGTGTTTGATTTTTACTTCTTGTATCTCAGGTACTTAATTTTTGTTTTTGTTACTTATAAAATGGGGATTTTTGGACAAAAGTATCTTTATCTATCTGAAGTTAATTTAATCGGTGGAAAATGGACTAGACAAATTTGTTGGAGACGGAGTAGATATTAGACCAAAAACTCTTAGCAGAGGACAAAATTTGAGAAGATTCAAGCCGAGATAAGGTAGTATTAGCTTCTTCTGCTTCTTCAACCTACCTATCTATGTGAAGTTCTTTGATTATAAATTATCGCATTTATACTTATGGTGTGATTTCTTCTTATTGACAGACATGAGTATAATTGGATACATGAACAGATAAGGTATTTAGATTTTATGGAAAAGGTATGAGAAGAAGATTACTTCTTGTTAGAATTTCAATATCATATTATTATAACTCGTAACTTGATTTTTTCTTAGGTGGCGATCTTTTGAATTTCAAATTTATGCATTTTGTACCTAGCATTTCATCGACCTCATTGAAATGTAGTAAAAAGAAATGGAAACGTGTAGATGTTAAAGATGATAAAGCATAATCCCCAGGTAAGAAGAAGAAGATGATTGAAGAATAAGTGTTTTAGGAGACACATAATTGAAATTAATGTATTAAACATTGGATAAAATGTTTAACTTGTGAAATAATGACATTAGTTGGTAACTAGTGCTTTGTAATGCAATTTAATATTATGTTAGCTAACAAATGCTTATTTGACCCTTTTAAACAAACATATCATTGATATTTTATTCTCAAATGCAATTTTTTGTTAATTATATATTTTATATTTGTTTTGAGGCATAAATGATTCCAATTCATAGTGTATCATATGTGATGGAATGTTGCCCTTGTCTAAATTTCCTAAGTTTTGCCTTATGAGGCAAAATTATATACAGCAAGGCAATATATGCTTTGTGTTTATAATGAAAAGTTTTATCTCAAGGTAAAAATAGTTGAAATTTTATATATATAAAAATAGAATAGTTATCGAGTTAATTTTTGTATTATGTTGCAAGCTTTGTATACAGCAGGTAAAGCTATGTATAATGTAGATAATGAAAAGTTTTGTTGCGAGACAAAGATAATCGAAATTCATAACATAAAAAGTAGAATAATTATGAACTAAATTTTGTATTATGAACCAAATCTTGTATACAACAAGATATACATACTATATATAAGAAGAAGTTTTGACTCTTTGAAAATGTAAATGAAAATAACATTAGTCTTACTAATGAAATAGTTTTACATCTTTACAATTCACTATTATGGATACTTGCAAAAAAAGTGTGTTTTTAATCATTATGCTTGATTTTTTTTAAAAAAGATTCATTTGATTTCTTTAACTATCCACATGGAATGCCATTTGATACCATTTGTAAATAAAAAAAGAGAATGTACACCACATACCATCATATATTAGTCGAGATATGTTTTAATAAATAATTGGTGATATGAAACACAAACACTCGACAATTTAGATATGAAACTCGCAAAATAATCAAGTAAATATTTTACTTCCTACATGTACACAAAGTTAGACTTTTGAAACTTGTCCGCAATGTTAGAAGCCGGACTCCTCGAGGCTACTTTAAGCCATTTTAGTGCAAACCAAAAGGACTGAAGTTGTTGGATGTTGCTTAGTCATGAATACTCTTGTTATAACTTAACCAAAAAGCTCTATGTCGAACGTCAGCATAAATAAGTTATAGATATTTGTCTGACCTTAGCAAAAGGTTGGGACTGAGTATAATATTCTAATGATGAATCATCTGATCATCCACGTCTTGGACTTATTCCTATTGAACACTTAAACTACTCAAAAAGTATACTTATTAGACATTTTTCTTATGCGGGGAAGCCACCTAGCCATCAAACCACCACAACAACAACAACATATCTAGTATAATCTCACAAGGTGGGTTCGGAGAAAGTAGAATGTATGCAGACCTTACCCCTACCTTGTGAGGTTAGGGAGGTTGTTTTCGATAAACCCTCGCTCAAGAATAGAATAGACAAAAAAGCAATAACAACAGCAAAATAAAAGCCACCTAGCCATCAACTTCCATTTATATATGAAAAATTGAGATTCAAGATTCAATACACTAGCTTCAAAAATCATTTCTGGAGCAAGATTGTGTACAATAGTTCATTCCAAGCATCTGGAACACCAGCTACACACCAGTGGCTGCAGTCGTTCAATCCGCCACTAGCAATTCTCGAGGGGTGTCCGTCTTTTCGTAGTTGTGTAAGCAGTGTAATATCAAGTAAATTGACAGGCTTTGTCATGTTACTTAGGACACTTTTCACCACTGCCTCTCCTCGATATCTTTCACCAGGATACGTTGATCCCTCTATTGGCTTTGTTTGTCCGCTGCAGTCCTTCACCTGTGGTTCATTCCAATCCTTGCCACTGAAAAGATCGAGGAAACAGAACTAAGTTGAAGAAAATGGTCTAGAATTCTACAAGACAAATCATATACTTGGAAACTTGCTAGAAAATGTGATTGATCTTCAATTCGTCGAGACTAAGTTGTTGTTTGGTTCACGTTATCACATACTAGTATGTTGGGATTAAAAAGGAAAGTCCGGTGAATAGCTACACACCAGTGGCTGCAGTCCTTCAAAAATCATTTCTGGAGCAAGATTGTGTACAATAGTTCATTCCAAGCATCTGGAACACCAGCTACACACCAGTGGCTGCAGTCGTTCAATCCGCCACTAGCAATTCTCGAGGGGTGTCCGTCTTTTCGTAGTTGTGTAAGCAGTGTAATATCAAGTAAATTGACAGGCTTTGTCATGTTACTTAGGACACTTTTCACCACTGCCTCTCCTCGATATCTTTCACCAGGATACGTTGATCCCTCTATTGGCTTTGTTTGTCCGCTGCAGTCCTTCACCTGTGGTTCATTCCAATCCTTGCCACTGAAAAGATCGAGGAAACAGAACTAAGTTGAAGAAAATGGTCTAGAATTCTACAAGACAAATCATATACTTGGAAACTTGCTAGAAAATGTGATTGATCTTCAATTCGTCGAGACTAAGTTGTTGTTTGGTTCACGTTATCACATACTAGTATGTTGGGATTAAAAAGGAAAGTCCGGTGAATGAAGCATTCTGCGTTCACGGAAGGTCCAGGGAAGGGTCAAACCCCAAGGGGATGTAGACTAGAAAGCTTACCATGACACAAGCATTAGAGACTAATGCCACGACTCGAACATGTGACCTGTAGGTCAGATGGAGACAACTTTACTGTTGCTCCAAGGCTTATATTGGGATTATAATGCAAAATTGTTTATGCAGTGAATAACAATGAATATGTTTTTTGATGCAGGAATTACTTACTTTAAGATCACTATTGTCTTTTCAATAGTTTAAATTCTCGTATTGCTAATACATGTACACTTATTTCACATTCTATCCGCAGAGAATAATACATCGTATAACTTATTTCGGACAATTATTTTGTATTGCCGACCAACCACTGCATTAGTCATGCACTCGGAGATTGTTCTTTTCGTTTACAACCAACTAAACAGTGCATTAGTTATGTATCCGGGAAACAGAACACTGTATTTACTCAATCCTGGATCAATCATCTTAATACGATCAACCAAACAAGCCCTAAATGTTTACGAGAGAAATGAGAAGCTGTGATAGAACTTACCGAGCATGAACAGCAGAAATTCCTTGGAAGAACACTTTAGTCACAGCAGGATTAATGTTGGAATCGATCCATTTAGCCCAAGTAGTTAAAGCAATCTTGTATGCTGCCATATGGTCCATCTCCTTGTAGAGTTTGTCACCAACTTGAAAATAGTCCCACCTGTGGACAAAAAGAACAGGACAATGTAAAATAACGAAGTTCGGTTTCTAGTAAGTTAGTGAAGAAGAAGTGTACGTTTGTTGGCGTCCAGTATGTATCCACCAATGGTAGCTATTAAAGATCAAGACATCAACTCCTTTCCACAGCTCAGTCTGGCTGAGAGTGTCGAGCTTGAGAACTCGTCCTACTTTCTCAACCACTAAGTCAACGAGAAATCCGTCTTTCAAGAATGTGACTGTGAACTTAAACTCCTTCAGAAGAAAAAAAGAGATCATGAGAAAGAAGGGAAGAATACATATCAGAAGTTTCGGAACAAGAAGAGATTTTAGTGTTTATCAAATCCCACAACAATCTATGTGTTGCTTGAATCTTCCAAAGAAATGTTGGTGTACTCGTGTATGGTCCTCCGAAAATGCAATACTTTCAGAGGATCTGACACATACCTGGCAACATTTTTGGAGGATCCGAGCAAACATAGACAATAACAAAATGTCATGCTAGCAGCAGGGTAATTACTGAATCTATTTCAAGTATTTTAGCAGTTGATGCTTCTCTATGTCGGACAGAAAATTCATCATTGGCTAAGTATTCGAAGAACGATTGCAGTTTAACATCTTGGCACTAACCACAACAATTATATATGAAAATCTGCTAAATCGAAGAATCTATCACATATTGAAAGAATTCCAGCAATTAGCCCCTCTGCAGGATATAAGATCATTCACTAATATGTTATCGATATTATAACATGCTAGCATTGTTGAAATTGGAGTCAGATCATATCGAATCATACTAAATCAATTAAATTATTACTACTTATTAGTTCCTCACGGGACAAAAGGAAGCAAATACTTTTTGCAAGTGACCGGAACTTTTAACCTGTCAAAATCACGAATTTTATTCTAATCAAAAGACTAACGGACCCTATTGAACATAGATCGCCAAACTACGACCAAGAGTTTCACCTTTGAAAGTGTCAGTCACGGCCTTTTGAAGCGCTAGTCACGTATACACGCCAGGCTTTATAGAGTTAAAAAGGCTTTGATGACTAAAGGTTTGTACTACAGAATGGAGAGTGATGGGAAGAAGGGGCAGCCCTTGATTGGTCCGAACGTTGGAGCACTTTTACCAACAACAACAACATATCCAGTGTAATCCCACTAGGTGGGGTCTGGAGAGGGTATGATGTACCCAGACCTTACCCCTACCTCGTGGAAGTAGAGAGGTTGTTTCCGAAACACCCTCAGCTCAAGTAACTCATACAAATCAACGTTAAAGATAGTATACAGACGCAATGCAAAACATAATAAATAATAATGAAATCATTTACAGAGAATTCAAGTCTACCAAATAGAAGATGATAGAGGGACAACGATTAAATTGACCTACCGGGAATGAGAGAACGGAACGTTCCTTTGTGCTGTCAAATGTGTAATTAGAATTTGGAACTGCAGCATGAAGCATACATGCTAGTGATTGCCACTGGTTACTGCTCAAGGAATCTCCCACAAACATGAAATTTTTGCCTCTAAAGTTTTTCAGGAGATTTTCACCATTGAACCTACATATATACTACTTTTTTAGTAGTTTCCAAATATATAAATTTTATTTTAAACAAAAAACTTAATAATTTCATATCCTAATTTGGTTGAAATTCAAAAGTTTGACTCAATCAATGTCACATACATTGAGATACAACAACAATATATAGTATAATCTAACAAGTGGAGTTTCAAGAGAGTAGTGTGTACGCATCTCAAACACGCCAACAACAACTACACCTCACTCCTAAACAAGTTACAAGTTGTGGTCGACTATATGAATATCTACTTCGTCATTTAAGCTCATTTTATATCATCATCATCATACTAACAAAAACAACAAACAAAATTTTAAAAAAACACAAATCATTGGAATTTAGGTGGAACAAAGAAAGAAGTTTCTTACTTTGGGAGGTCACAATCAGTAGGCTGCCATCTATATTTGAGATAAAATTTATCTTTTCTTCCATTTTTTATGCAATTTAGACCTTGGTTTATAAATGGACACTTCAAAGAATCATAAATTGGATAAGATTCATCAAAAATCCAACTTCCTTCAAAAATATTACAACTCTTCAATTGTTGTTCTTCATAAGATAGTATTATTAATAGATGCAAAAAAACAACAAAAAGGTAAATTTTGGTACTTTTTTTAGTAGACATGGTGAAAATTTTAGAACTCAAATTGAGAGCTCTAAAAATTGAGTAAAAAGAAAAAAGAAAATTGTACTGTTTTATAATAATTTTGTGTGTAGATTTTTGGTGTGTGATTAATTAGTTGGTTGTCTTTTAGTGGTACAAATTAATTAGTGCACTAATTAGTAAGGTAAAGCAACCGAATAATGGTCAAACATATATTTGAAGATAATTTTTCAAAATATATGGTTAAATATATATTTAAAGATACAATTTTAAAATATTTGGTCAAATATATATATATATATATATTTAAAGATAATTTTTTAAAATATATGGTCAAACATATATTTGAAGAGAAAATTTAAAAATCTGATTCAAAATATATAGTCAATGCTTGAACTGATTGATCTAAGTGAGCTATGAGGGGTGCTTGTCTCTGCTCTGAGTCCTCTCTCATCCAAGCTCAGCGGTCAGCCTCCATTCGAATTATCTTAGGGGGTCTTTCGCTTTTGCCAGATCTAGAGAGATACTACAAGTCCTCCGTCCCAGATTCCATCGCCGCGGTCTAATAATCCTTCTTGTCCGGTAAGCAAAAGCAAGCAAGGGAGCCTTTGGCTTCGTCCGTTCGTCGTTGCCAGAAAGAATGACTTTAGAAGAACTTGGCTGGGCTTTTCCTTTGTTGTAAATAAGAATAAGTAAAGCCCAAATATATATATTTAAAGATAAATTTTTAAATAATATGGTCAAACATATATTTAAAGAGAAATTTTAAAAATCTAATTCAAAATATATAGTCAAACACTACCATAATTTTTGTTCATAATATCTCATCTCTCCATAATTGAGGTGTTTGTAATGTATTTCATGAGCAATTACTACTAAAATATAATAAGAAAAGAATAATTAACTGTCTCGAACATCTAAAATTACAAAAAAAATATAATCACGATAGATAATTTTGAATAAAAAGAGTATTTATCTATCTTACTTCTTTTTTTAGTCTTTTATTCAAAAATAAAAATATTTTTTAAAATTTAGTAATGATTTTTAAATGTCAACATTCCATATAACATATTAAGATCACAATACTAGAAAATATTTTGACATATTATAAATAACTTTAATTTAAGATCATAAAAAAATTAAAAAAACATTTAAGATTTTATATCCAATCAAATTAGAACACATAAATTAAAATAAAAGAAATATTGGAAACATTAGCCTTGTCATGTGATTTATACTTTCACTAAATTAAATAGATAGAACCAATACATCCTCAATATTAACGAATATGGCAAGTATGACCAAATTTCTGTTCTAAATAAGTAATTCTAAGTACATCAATGGGAGGAACTTCTTCATATATTTCCTGCAAATACAAATATTTGACTTCAGTACATTTAGGTTATCTGCAAAATTGAACGAAATCTTGTTGAAGATCTCAGATCTAAGATATGTTTCGAAGGAGATGCATTTACAGTTTTCCTATAAGAAACGAGCAATTGACTTCGATCACCTTGACCCAGCTAAGGTTCCGTTGTTATCCAGAGATTCAACCCCAACGCCCATCTTGGCACGTGGATTCATTACCTGAATACCATAGGCACTACTAGTCGTGAATAAGAATGACAAAATGTAGAGCAACCAGGCGTAGAACTAGCATGATCCTGTCGGGATATAAGCACCTCACTGTCAATGAGACCAATTTTACCTGTATGCTGCTGATCAACTCATCGGATTCTGAAGAAGCGTTTAAGATACAGTTTGACTAAGTCTCAAGATGTCCATCAGCAATCGACTGACAGAAGCCTTTATTTCATCTGGTATTACTAACTGGGGAGGAACTGATTCTAGCGCATACAGAGTAATAACCCTCATTACACCAGCCAAGTGTAAATTTGTCATATCGCCTTTCCGGAGATTCTGATTCACAAACTTGCATGATACTTTTAAGGCACATTTGCTGCATACCTGAAGTAAAAGCACATAAAGTTTCAGGTCATAAGGGGAAGATAGGAGAAAGGTGGGAAGAAATTCGAGAATATACCAAAAAAGGAAATTTTACATAATCTTATTTGATCTTAGGAGCAGAGAAGGGAAGTGATGAAGTTTCTTAAGAGCAAAAGTGACTTACATTATCTTCTTGAATTCTGAAATATGTACGCAACCTCTTAGCAGATAAAACGTTCTTCTTTGCAATAGAAGGGCAACCAAAAAGGGCGACTTTTTTCAAGTCACTGCCAGACAACCATCTGAACAACCAAGTTTAATAGATTAAGGAACTGAATGAAGAAAGCTAAGGTGTATAAAGCAGTGTCTAAACTAAACAAAGAAAACCATCCTGAACACAATACAAGCGAAATGTGGGAATTCGTCAAGATAAACCATTCCAAATGAAAGACAGCATCAGTCCATACCTTTCAAGTTCGGAAAAGAGCCAAAAATACCTGCAACCGATTGAAATGGTTCACAAATACCCTCGGTTAACCTTTAGGTCTAAAAGTATCCATAACGTTTTTTAGGGGGCTCAAACAAACCTCTGAAACTAATGGATATGGGTCTTAAAAAAACATAAAAGGGCCAAAATATCCCTAACGTATTGAAAATTGCGAACAAATACCATTTGTTAACCTTTTGGTCAAAAAATACCCATAACGTTTTCTTTTGGGCTCAAACATAGCCCTAAAACTAACGAATCAGCCTGGGTCAAATTTGGGTCTTTAAAATAGTCATGTGTCATTCAAAGCTTACCACATTTTCAATATAGGATTAAATTAAAGCCCACTCATGCCTTTATTAAAACCCACCTCGTTTTCATTTTACAAATTAATCACCCAATACAATCTTTTCTCCCTAAAGTATCCGTCATTTCCTAGAAGCGCGATTTAGGGCTAAATTTTTGTACTTCAAACTGGAGATTGGATGTTAAAGGATTCTTCTTGAAGAATCAATTTCAAAAGTCTTGTTATTAAGGTAATTCTTTTTACTGCTTTATATGAAACTTCTTCTATTTTGATTTGATGTACTTGAGCGAGGGTGTTTTGCAAAAAACCTCTCCACCTCCACAAGGTAGGGATAATGTTTCCGTACACTCTACCCTCTAGTGGGATTCCCCAAAGCATCTGTTATTGCGTCGAAACTTAGAGGTGATAGGCGATTTAGGGTTTAACTTTTGTACTTCAAACCGGAGATTGAGGGTCATAACTTCATTGGATTTTGAAGGATTCTTCTTCATGAATCATCTTCAAAGACTTGTTATTAAGGTAAAAAAAATTATTGTTTTAATATAAAACATTTTCTGTTTTGAAATAATGCACTTGAGCCGAGGGTTTTTCAGAAACAATAGGGATAAGGTTTGCATACTCTCCCACTTGTAGGATTACATTGTAGGATTACACTGTATATGATGTTGTTGCTTGTATGAAACTTGTTATGGTTTGATTTCTATATTCTTGGCCATCGATAAAAAAAAATTACTCCAGTCAGTTGAAGCTTTTGATGCTTTCTGTTGAAGCTAAATTTTTTTTTGATGACAATCTGTATTGAAGATTTTAATGGCTTTGTTTACTACTCTCTCTCTCCCATTTTTATGTGACACCCTTTCCTTTTAAGTCTGTCCCAAGAAGAATGTCACATTTATATAGTTAGAAATAACTTAACTTTAAAATTTTACCTTTACCCTTAGTAAAATGATTTATAGTCACACAAATATCTAAGGTTTATTTCAGACAACACATTTTAAAGTCCTTCCTCTTTTCTTAAACTTTGTGCCAAGTCACATGGTGCCTACATAAATTGGGACGCAAGGATTAAATCTTTTTCGTATGTGGTCCTTGATTTGTCAGAGATTTATGGTTATTGAATTGGTGGATGGGGGTTATTTATTTATTTGTGGTCCTTTTCTTTGTTGTATGTTGTTAGATTCCCATATATAAAATTATTTATGTATATCTTTGGTGTGGAGTTAACGATAGGCTTCAGGTTTGGAGACAAATTCTAGAGAGACTGTAGGGTTCAGGTTGAGCAAGACCAAAACTGAATACTTAGAGTGTAAGTTCGGTGAAACTACGCATGAGGTCAACGTAAAAGTGAGGCTTGATGCTCGGGTCTTCTCCAAGAGAGGATGTTCCTAGTATCTAGGGTCATTTTTCAAGTTAATAGGAAGATCGACAAGGATGTCACACATCATATTGATGCGGGATGAGCAAAATGGAGGCTCGCCTTCGGAGTCTTGTGTGATAACAAGGTACCGCCAAAATTTAAAGGTAAGTTCTATAGAGTGGTGGTTAGACTGACTATGTTGTATGAGATAGAGTGTTGACTAGTTAAGAAATTGTATGTTTAGAAGATGAAATTGCAAGGATGAGAATGTTGAGGTTGATGTGTGGGCATCCTCAAGAGGCATAAGATTAGGAAGGACAAGGTAGGAGTTGGCTTACAAGTGGATAAGATAAGGAAAGGAAGGTTGAGATGGTTTGGACATGTGAAATGGAGAAGTTAGATGCCTAGTGAGGAGGTGTAAGAGGTTGGCAATGATTGGCATCAAGAGAGGTAGAGGAAGGTTGAAGGAAGTATCGGGAGAGGTCATTAGACAAAGACAGGGTGCATCTTGAACTTACCGAAGACATGACCTTACACAGGGGGTCTGGATGTCACGGGTTATGATACAAGGTTAGTTGATAGTTGAGCGTTCTCTCGCTTTCCTTCGGTATAGGATTGGTGGTCATACTTGGACCTTCTTTCTTACCGGTGGAATTAGCACTATTATCGTAATTTCTTGTTCTTCGATCTCGATTATCACCTGTGCTTTTTGTGCCTTGGTTATCACATTATTTTGTTGTCATTACTATTCTTTCCACAATATATTGTGTGTTTCTTCCATTTCACATTATTTAGTTGTTGTTACTGCTCTCATTTATGTATTCCCTTTTTCAAATTGCTTTATTTTAAGCCGATGTCTAGCAGAAACCTCTCTATCTCTACGAGGTAGGGATATGATCTGCATACAATCTACCCTCCCCAGACCCCATTTGTGGGATTACACTAGGCTTGTTGTTGTATATCTCTGGTGTAGTCCCTATTTCCTTTTTTTTATGGCTTGCATGTGCTAGTTTCAGAAGAATGAAAGAAAATGTGGACTTGATTTTTAATCATGGGGTATTTGGGTTCAAAAATCTCGGTTGATGTATAATAAAAGATGGTACACATGTGGCAAGGGTATGATGTAGACCTATTGTCATATATTGATATCTGTTGAGAATACAAGGAAAAACTAAGGTTAGTGAGGTGAAGGACTTATTAGTTACATGTGGCCACCTAGTAGGTTTTAAGTGTTGGGGGTATTAGAGCCCTTCAATATTTGTTGTGTAGTGAATTCAATGTATTAAACAATTTACAGTAGATGAGGTTGAAGAGAATGCGATTGCACCTAGTACATCTACGGTACATGAAGAAACTTCAGTATGATGAATAATACTATAAGCAATTCTTACATGTTGATCTACCAAAATCTTTCAACAATAACATTTCTGATATAGTTTAGTTTGCTAATTACAGAAAAAAGGGGAAAGTATTTGTCTTTGTCTATGCCTTATAGAAGCTGACATTTCGTAAACTTGATATTGATTATGTTGTGGTGATCTCTACCAAACTGCCAAGCTTCATACTTTACAAAATCAAGGGCATAGCTATTCTCGAAGAAAGTAATATCAGACTTCTTCCTAGAAAAAAGTTTGAATCTTTAAAGTACCCTTCATTGTATAAATGAGTCACAACCATCACCATATCAGGTGGAAGCTCTTTGTACAAAGTATGATCCTACATAGTCAAAGCGTTGACTTTCTTAACATTATCAGTTTACAAACTGTTTGCTTCTATGTTTGCACAAGGCAAAGACGAATACCTTCCATATTTACCCAATAATTAGCATACTGAATTCTATCAAAAATGTCATTGTTAATGATTTCGGTAGATTTAACAAAACACAAATTAGACTAATAAACTTCAAACGTAACATGCAGAAAACAAATAGTAGCCATCAATATAAAAATGGGGAATGTAACTAAATTGATCCTTACTGAGCAATCTCTTGGTGATCTCTACCAAACTGCTCAGCTGCATACTTTACAAAATCACGAGCATAGCTATTCTCGAAGCAAGTAATATCAAATTTATTCCTAGGCAAAAAAGTTGAATCTTTAAAGTACCCTTCATTGTATAAATGAGTCACGAACATCACCATATCAGGTGAAAGTTCTTTGTATACAGTATGATCCTCATACTCAATAGCGTTGACTTTCTTGATACACTCTTAACCTCCTGATTCAGAAACAATTCATGTAATTTTTTGCTCTTTCTCTCATTTTCTGACACCCCATTAGAGTTTTTAGCTTCCTCCTTCCTAATAGCTTTCTCATTTTTCCTCTTCTCCAGCAAAACCCTCACTTCTTCCTCCAATTTTCTCAAGTTACACTTCAATTCTTTGATTTCACTTTCATCCTCAATTTCTGATTGTTCAGACTTTTCTAAGAGGCCAACAGCTTCTTGAAAGAAAACACCCAATGGTCTCTTTGCTAATCTATCTGAACTAGTTGGTTCTTTCTGAAAATGAAAAGGGTCTCCAAAAAGATGATGAAAATTGATATGGGGTTGAAGAGTTCAAGCATGCTGATGGAAGAATTGTTAGAAAACCCCAATAATTGAATTTTCTCAGGTATATCATTGGTGGGTTTTTTGGTTATTTGGTCACATAACCATAGATGAGTATATAAAGGGATGATGATGTTCTGCCATTAGAAGGATTTTAGGGGTTTTGCAAGCAATACATCTACGGCTTACAGCTGCGGACTCTAATTTGTATTGGGTTGGGACAAAACAGAAGTACATGAAGTTCCTTATGGGCAAAATTCCCAAGTTTTTGCACAGATTGTCCTTCAAACGAACTAGTGTTTAATTTTTGTCTCTTTTCTGTTTCAGGTGTTAAATTTTTCCTCTTGCTGCTGATTTAATGGGAATTTCTGGACCAAAATCTAGACCTGATTCGGTCAAAGGAGGATTTGTGGACCAAAATGGACTGAGAGGATTTGTTGAAGGCGGAGTTGGTATTGGTACCAAAACATCTCCAGCACAGGCACTTGAGAAGATTCGAGGAGAGCTGAGGTACTGTTAGATTCCACTGCTTCTTTAACCAGCCTACATGAAATTCTTCGATTATAAATTACCTCATCTATACTTATGATGTGATTTCTTTTTA